TCACTACCTGTAATATATGTTAAATGTAATAACTATAATATGTAATTTTGATTATTATTGGGTTGGTGCATAATTATCAGGCAATATTAATAATGTGCACATATTGTAGTTGATACACCTGACAAATATATATATTTACTTATTGAGTGACGTGTAGTATAATGCTTGGACGTCATAATGCTTCATAAATTAAGTAAAAGTGACCCAACTATATATTCACTCTTGAATACTAATGAGAAATTAGTCATATCAGTCACAAATTTAATGAATAAATAGTGTCGTCAACTCATTGTAGTTTTATAATATTTTTATTTATTTATTACTTAAAGATTCTAATGAAGTTGTTTAATTAACTAAAAAAATATAAAAAAATAGAATATATAATAATTAAGAAAAAAAACCATAATTACTTACAAATATATTTTAATACGAATAATTACATATTCACAAAAAATATTTTGTAACAGTGACAATCATAAGAAATTATAAATGGTTATACAATTACAAAATCTACTAGCGTTTCATAAAATAGAGTTTAATTAATTAAAATTTAGTTGTTTGAACTATTTTTGCACTTTCACTTAAATTGAAATATTATTTTACCTAATCAATCGAAAACTAATAAATTTATAAAAGATATTAAATATGAATGCTATAGAAAAAACTAACGAGGAATGAATGACCGATATAAGTCGATTTTGTTGATCACCTATTTTATATTCTTATAGTTTTAGAACATACACTTTTAGTTAAAACTACCTACATAAACTTATAACAAATGATCAATTGTACGTCTTCTCGAGTAAAAAATAAACATGAAATCACGTTTTTGTAGGTAATCTAATAGTAAAAAATTATACAAATTAATGATTCAATTTAATTGGAGTATGCGGAAAAACGTCTTATGGTATTTTTTCTTACATATTTATGTTTTATCATAACAATTCTTCATATTTATTGAAAACACACAAATTTTAAAAGTTTAATACTTTTCAACTGATTTAAATCAACCTTACTTAAAATTTTGTTACATTTTTGTATTCTCGTTATTTATGTTTATAAGAACTAACACTGTTTTACTTGCATATTTATAATAATTTTATTTTTTACATGAAATTAAGGAAAATTATTTACAAAACTATACAACTTATAATTTTCATTTAAATTGAAGTAAGTTAATATTAGTAAAACTATAATAACAGCTTGTTAAAATGTCATACTTGTTAATAATGTGTAGTTTTGTTTGTAAAATAAACGCCTTATGCCATTTTTACTTACATATTTCTAAAATTTATTAATATTACATAACTTGGAACATATGATTTCAAGATATAAGTAAGTTAACATTAGTTAAAATATAATCAGAGTTTGTTATAGTTAATTGAATTTAAACAATCCTATTGTTAGCAATTTGTTTTTTATGTGTAAGTTATATATATATATATATATATATATGTATTGATTATTGTTGGTTTGTTCTGAGTGCGTTCCGCTATACGCTTTCAATACTAACTGGCTCAGAGGTAAAAGTGAAAGAGCAAACAACAACAAAACGGCTCAGCTTTCACTAAAAGCCAGGGCACTTGTATAGCTTGAACATCGCTTCTACAGAATGAGGAGGACAAAATGTTGATTATGGCACAACGACATTTTGATCGTCGCTTCCGGTCACCTTCTTCTGCATTTAGGTTAAGAGCGTTAATGATCGCAGCGTTAAAATAAAGCCTTCTTCAGTTAATGATCATCACACTCGATACGAAGATGAAGCTACCTCACGAATTTGTAAATACGGATCGGTTAGAAAGTTCAAATAAACGGAAGCGAAAATGTCATATTGTTTGCATAAACTGTTCCTCAGCAAATTCAGATCGACGGCAAAAGCAGGAAATGCTGAGTTTCGTAAGGAAAGACGCTTCTTCTTTCGACACGTTTTGTCCTTCGTCCCTCAAGCAAATCGTAACAATAATAATACGGCGCATCGTGGCCTGAATTTGTTCACGCTGTTTGACACTTTTCCGGAAACTGCTCTATCTCGATTCCATCAAAAAGGATGGATTCAAATTTCTTATACTGACGCTTTCATTTGCTGATTTCTTCAAACACGTAACTGGCAAATTGTTTATAATTAACCAACTTTTTACACAATCATATTGTAATTGCCACAATACATACATTTGTTCCTTACCACATTATTATAAAAATCTTTATAGCAGTACCTCGTATAATACTGTTTCAATCATTTTGGATTCTACAGTGAATCCAAAATGATTGAAACCGGTTTGAAAATTTCAAAATAAAACAAAATTTGAATGGAACAAAATAAAATTATATTAATAAAAACTGGTACATGAAATTATTTTTTTTTTATACAAATAAAAACGATTTTCCTCTTTGAACTTTTACTCTTTATCAAGTCTCTTTTGTGTATATTTGTAATAGTAATGCAAATCGTTGATTAATTTATTATTAAAAAAAATATACAAAGTTTTTTTAATTAATCCTATTGAATTAGAACATTTTTCAAACACTTCAAAATTATTATGATTTTTTTTTATATATTGCCATAACAATAATGTTGCATTATTCTTGTAAATTGAATAAAATAATAGCAAAATCATGTATTTTTATGATTATATGTAGTAAAATTTATTTGTTTACAAATTTAATGTAATTTTCTGCTTGATTTTTATTATAAATAACAATAATTTACTTTTGATGTTTTCTTAAGACAATGAATACAATAATTTGATATCTTTTGATACATAATTTGTGTATACTAATGGACATAAATCCTTAAACATTCCTAAATATTTCGAATAACTAGGCTTTTGGTAGCAGCTTGTTCAACTTGAAATTAATATAATTAATTAATGTAAATACAAACAAAGCATTTTATGATTTTATAATCATTTATATACAATAATAATAATAATAACGCCCTAGGTCCCGGGTAGGGCCCCGGCAAAGAAGAGCAACTGGCACAAAAGTGTGAAATCACAAATATGTGAAATAATAATAAAGAAAAGTTACTGGCACGAAAGAGCCAAGTCACAAGAAAAAAATAATGTAACATAGAAGTGAATACTTTTATGTAAAAATTTAATAAATTGTAAATTTTTGAGCTTTTAGAAACACGATTTATCAAAGGTTTGTTTTCGCAAATCATTAGTCATACCTTAGTTATCGTTACCTCTGTTCACAAAGATTTGATATAACGAAGTACGTAATTGTCCGAAAACATTAAAAATTCTTGGAAAGAAGTCAGTAGAAAATAATTAAAAGGAATTTAGCAAAAATATGACCAGAAAAGTTGTATTGAAAGAAGAATAACATTAAGAAATTTCAAAAGTGTCTATGAAGAGAATGGTAGAAATGTATAGAATATGCAGAAGATGACTCTGGAAGATTTACAAATTAAAGACGAAATTAAAGAAATTTTTATGTAAATTATTAAATGAAAGATAAAAATACAAACAATCACCTTTACATTCATATTAAAAAAATTGTTTTTCACCTCTGTAAACGAAATAATTGTATGGAATGCATCCTATTCGTTAATCGAGGCATGACTGTACATTAAGATCAAACAAAACATACATTTTTATTATTTATGTGTGCAATTACTGCTCCGGTTATAATAAATAAGCTCGTGGTATTTCTGTTTCATTCATCCTCTTACTTATTTTCGTTGCAATTAATACCGCACGAAATCAAATGGATTGTTGCGATTAGTAGAGCAAAACTAAAACTAAAAATAACGAACGCTTACGTGCCGCAATCTTCAATTACTTTCGGATTTAAGTGCACTTAGGTGAAAATTAATTAGGTAATATATGAATTAATCGATCGATGTTGTTTTTGCTGCGAACATGATGACCTATTAATTAGCAACAAACGCAACATTTTTGCTAATTTTTAATTAACTTTTGGTAATCTGTTAATACTCAAGGACTTTTAATTAAATTATGTAATTTTAGTTTATTACTAAACAAAATTATTAGTTTTATTTGCAAATTGAATAATATGTTACAACGTTATATAAATTATGAATAATTGGGTCAAAATTATGAAAAGTATAACTTATTTGTAACAATTAAAAATTAACATGTCCTAAGTTAGGTCGCTAAATTGAAAAATTTAAATTTCCTATAGTCAAGTCTCTTTTTATGAAGTTCTAAAGTCCTTGATTAGTCCGGTTTCAAACAGTCCGGTACTAATGTCAATGATATCTACAATATATCAATAAAACATGAAAGTTATGAAATCTAAAAAAAAAATTTATTTAATAGAATTTGATTTCTTGTTTATATATAAATTGTATTAATAATAGTATAATACAAATTGCTTTTTATGTTAAAATATAATAAAACGTAGAAATATAAAATCTGAAAATAGCAAAATTTAATAAACATTTAGTTAAAAATCTAACAATGACTTCTGTATTAATTTCCATTAATTTTAATGATAGAAAGTTTTTCCAGGGAATTTCTCTGTAAAAAACAAAACAAAAAATACATATTGTTGGAATATTCTTGAAAGAGGGCCAAAGTAATTAACAGATGATGATGATATTTTTGAATGCACATTTTGGGTGGAGGTAGTTGAATATTTCTGGGGATGGTGGGAACGAATGGTCCGTCATTACTTGACATAGCTTTCACTTGCTTCTTGCCTGGAAAAAAAAAAGAAGAAGGAAAAAGAAAAAGAGGAAGGTTCAATGTGTCTTCAGCACTATTAGAGTTTACTTCCGATGCTCGAAAGTCGGTTGCTCCACATGTGCTTAGCAGTAGTAAGAATCCGAGTGCAGTGCAGTTAAGATGTCGGTCTTCTTCAGAGTGGGTGTCTTGTGGTGGACTTTGTGGTGTCTTGTGGTGATCATCGCGTGCTGCTTCAGCGCAGTCCAGACTGTTCCCAGTGAGAAACAGACTCAGGAATTAATGATCTTGGATGCTCTGGGCAGGAGATCACCTGTTGGTGGTTCATCCAGTAGCACCAGCGATACCCAGGGAATCATCGATATGCTGGGAAGAAGTATGTCAAAATTAATTTGTCGCGGTCCTAAGTAGATTGGTAGAATGAAATTCTGCAGGGAAATGCACTTCCTGTCTAATCAACGTTTATGTATCGCTCGTAAAACTGTAATTACTGACCCAGTCTTCATGCAGGCAAAAAAACTCAGAACTTTCATTAAAATTGGATGAGATACATCAAAGTATATTAATTAATTTGAATTTATGTAAAAATATTATTTGGTAAAATTATTTTTAATTTATTTAGTACCAAACAGACTATTGACCAAAGTGTGCGGGTCTATTTAAATATATTTATTTATAAAGTAAAATATTTAATATTCACATATTCTTTCGCAATATTTTGTTCAAAATTAGACAATATATCAAATCAATCAAATATGAAAGAAAGAACCATGAAAAATAAGGTGATAATCTACAATTATACTGTCAAACTAAAAATTGTTAATAGGATTTTTAAAAGTATAATTGAAAATATTTTTAATGTACTTGTATTGAATAATATTTTCCAAAGAAATAATAATTTATTTGTGTTCATCTAAAAAAAACTTTTTTGGTTATAATTTTATGAATATACTAACATAAAATATTAATTACTAACTCAATTTTCATAAGATAAAACACGTAAAAAAGGATTATAAACATTGTATGACATAAATCCTAGTACAGGAACATTTTATCAATAATTATTATGATTATATAATTTCTTCTATATTTTATTATAAAACTGTAATTCAATAATATATTTAACAATGTATGCAAACTTTAATAATACTTATCCTGTCTTAAAATACAAGACAGAAAACCAAGTAACTTGATTCAAAATGTATGGTATATATGAAAATTCAACTAAACTATTTTTTGAATTCATTTAAAGTTAAGACAAAACTGAAAAAATATATACAATTTGATAAAAAAAAATCATTTAGTTTCTCTTAACATGAGATGTATAAACTAATAATATTAGAATTAATATCAAAATGTCATCTTTAGAACAAAATAAATATAAATAACATTTCTTGTATAACAGATACAAAAGAATTTAAGCCCGAAATTTTAAATAATTTTTCATATTGAACAAGAAAGAATCAAATATTTAACAACCTATTATATAAAATGTAAAATCTCTTTGAACAAAGTTTTCAAGTCTTCGTGGAAGGAAAAGCAATTTTAATGAATCCCTTCACTCGAATCCTCTTGAAATGTAAACAGTTAGTGGAAAAATATTTTCCGTAAAACGTGTAAATCTGTAAAGAGCTTTTCTCCTTTTCATTATGGACCTTTGATCCTATAGAATTTCTACCTGCAAGAATATGCGCGTTGTAAAATTATTTAAAAGGCGTCTAGACGTCTACAAACAGCTCTCATAAATAAACTTACCATAAAATGTATTTGCTAGTAAATTTCATATTTTTTCTATATTCTATATTGTTTAGTTAAAATTGCAAAAATAATATATTATTTATATATAATAGACAGTTTGACAAATTTTTGTTTGTAATAATTGATGTTGATAAAAATATGAGATTTTGAAATAATTTATAATTTAACATTGCTATGACAAAATTATTTTTAAAAGTTATTTGAATTAATACAAATTCGACAATTATGGGTGAATTATAATGTTTTAATAGTAGAAATATACATTAAATAGAATAAACACATTTCTTGAATAAAGAAACTATTACAAAAAAACCTCGGTTTCCGAACAAAATGTCGCAATTTTCATGTCGGGGAACTTTTTTTTACCTATTACCCCATTATGACGAAAGGTGGTCCAATGCTAATATTTTTAATCGATAATTTGATAATTAGCCTTCAGAATCCACTTTTAACTAATTTGGGGTAATTAACCAAGGTTTGCGTATTATGTAAAATGGAATTTAGTATTAAAAAATTGTCATTTATATACTTTTTAAGTTTCTTGTAAAAACATAAATGTTTGATTAATTTCATATGGTTTAAAATTTATCTAATATTGAAACTATTTTTTAATAGTTATTCTCCAGTTATTTATAAAAAAGAAATTAGATTTTTTATATTTAAATATTAACATTTTTAAGTTTTAATATAATATACTTGTCTCACAAAATGACTGTAATTATATTTGTTATAAATTGACTTAACTTGCTTAACTTTTATAAGCTGTAAAACCATGAGAACTATCTTTTCATCGTTATATCCTGTTATAATATTAAGTTTGCTAATAACAAGTTTTATTGTTTCAGTGATTCCACAGTCATGCCGTTACAAAGGTGTGAAATATGAATGCGGCTTGAGCATAAGCTGCGTTTTAGGTGGAGGAAGACCACTAGACTTATGTTCTGGAGGGATGATCTGGGCCTGTTGCGTCGACAGGGATACGCATTCATCCTCCTCCTCTCATCACACTCCAGACCAAGGAGTACTAAATAACGCCAGTAAGCAAACCAAATCTTATTAAAAACCATGTATACAACAAAGTATTAATGAATTATTTATAAACAATAGGAACTTTTTATTGAATAAAAACTGTAATTTGTATATTAAATGGTTAAAAAAAATTACTTTTCAGAGCTAAGTTATTAATTTTCGTATTATAAGACACACCATTTTACTTAATTTTATAATACTGAATAAGAACAATAGCTTAATACAAACAGTATATAAATACATCTTTTAATAGTTCATTTAGGAATTAATTTAAATCAATTGTTTATTGGCATACTATTTTCTTGCATATTTAAGTGCGTTTCACGGAAAAACCGCAGAGTTTCCATTTGATTAACGCGTTTCTACTTTCACCAAATTAAGTTTGTTAAAGATATGGAAAATTTGCAGGACGATTTTTCTTCTTCAATTTTACAAGGATTTAACATTGTCATTTTATAAATGATAATCACATGAATAATATCTTGTATGCAAATGGGTATAGCTAACAAAATTGTACTGTTCGGTTCAGTAAATTTTGTTATTCGAAGCACGTGAACTTTCCCACGTATTCTCGAAAATTATTTAAATGTTGGCCAACGATGCATTGTTTATTGAACATTGAATAGAAATTAACGTCATAATATTTTTTTGGCACACACGCTCCATATATTAACCACAATATATTCGAAGAAACCTAAAATAAACGTTCTCATAATTTAATAATAAGTGAAATGTTGTTACTTTTTAATAGAACCAATTTTATTTAGTATAATGAGAAAGTAAAAGTTATCTTTTTATACGAAAATATTTTGGACGATATCTATAACTAAGATATAAATAATTTTATTAAAAACATAAATAAGAAATATAATACAATTTAGTGACTCAAAATAATATTATATGGTACAAATGTACATAAAACAAATAATTTCATTATTAATAAACATTAACCAAAATAAAAATTATTAACTTTTTTATTTTTTTTGTACTATTCTTTGAAATAAAGAAATATAAATAAATTTATAAACAATTATATTTGAAATATAACACAATATAACTACAATAAATTAATTGGACATTATATTAAAAATATGACAACAGACTGAGAATTTGACCGACAAATAAATTTGAAATTAAATATAACTAAGACTGACAACGCGACAAAATAATTCATAACTTTATTTTATAATAAATAAATTGACATTACGTTCAACATATGACAGCAGACTGACACAATTTGACCGACAAACATATTTTAATTTTAATATAACAATGATTGACAACGCGACGAAATAATTCAAAACTTTATTCTACAATAAATGAATTGACAGTAATTTAAATATCTGACAGCAGACTGACAATTACCCCCACATATTTGAAAATAAGAGCGAGGAAATAATTCATAACTATATTCAACCATAAATTAATTGACATTACGTTCAACATCTATTAGCAGACTGACAATATGTTCGACAAACATATTTCAAATCTGATATATTCATTACTAATAATGATTTCATAATGAATTCATAACTTTATTCTAAAATAAATAAATTGACATTACGTTCAACGTCTGACAGCAGACTGACAATTTGACCGACAAATATATTTGACATTAAATATAACAATGCCTTACAATGCGAGGAAATAATTCATAACAACAATAAATGATTTGACATTACGTTCAGACTGACAATTTGACCAAGAAATACTTTTGACGTGATGAAATAATTTAAATAAACTGTATTCTATAATAAATGGATTGGGCATTTCTTTCAACATCTGACAACAGACTGACAATTTGACCTACAAATATTTTTGACATTTAATATAACAATGAATGAGAACGTGATGTTTTTTTATGTCTTATAGTTTTATTCATAATCTGTTCATCAATGTGATCATTGAATAAATTTAAGATCGCGGTTGACATTAAATCTTTTCCGGTGGATAGTTACCATTATGATGATTTGATTTTTTTTTTTAAATTTGTAAGTTGGCTGTCTTGTCGGTTAACTTTAGTAGTATATTGATGTTCTGCGATTCTAACGCTGTCATTGCCCATTGCTGAATTTGTTTCATTTGACTGTCCATTCATGATAAACGAGGGCCCTATTGCTGCATGCACCGAGAGGGCTAACAAAGGGCCTGGCTTGACCATTATTTGAACCGGCGCCCACTAAATCGTGGGTAGGGCGACTTAACCATTCGGCTATTAGTCTCCCATAAAATAATTTTAAAAAAAACTGTATTTTATAATAAATGGATTGGGTATTTCTTTCAACATCTGACAGCACACAGACAATTTGACCGAGAAATATTTTTAACATTTAATATAACAATGAATGAGAACGCGACGAAATAATTCATATCTTTATTCTACAATAAATGAATTGACATTACGTTCAACAATTAACAGCAGACTGGCAATTTAACCAACAAATACATTTGATATTTAATATTACAATTACTACCAATGTTATTAAATATTTTATGACAATTTTGAATTAAATTGAATGATTTTATGATAAAAATCTGACAACAGACTGATATTTAAGATAACAACTACAGATATCGATATTTTATACATTCAAAATAATATTAAATTAGTATTTAAGAATTTATATTTGATGCTAGTTATTAAAAAATATTTTATTTTTAGAAATACTACATTTTCTCAACTAATAAACGTTAGTTAATTCAACAGGCTTGTATTGACAAGATACATGTGATTTATAATTAAATGATAAAATAAAAAATAAAAACTATGTAGAAAATATTACAATTAATTAAAAAGTAAATAAAGAAACAAAAATTAAATTATGAAACATTTTAATGGTACATCACAAAAATATAAATTATTATACAAAATACGAAATACTTTTTGTAATTAAAAATAATGTAATTAATTTGTAATTTTAAGAATCACAATTAAAGACCAAATACACTTTGGAAATGTTGTAATATATGCAACAAGCGTAATAAAAAGTGAAAATCCGTTTCGGTGATCAGTTTCAATTCATATTTTATTCATTGTATTCCATTATGCTATAAAAAAAGAACACATTTGCGTTCTTTCTTCCATTTACTTACGCAATCATAAGCCGTATAAAATGGAAGGTAAATAACTTTCAGAAATATCGTTTAAACATAAAATATAACACGATTTTATAAAATAATCTAATCTCATCATTTGAATATGATGGAATACGCATTTTCTCACCTTTTGAACATTGATTGACCAGAATTTAACGATTTACTTAAATGCAACTGCAATTTAAATTAACATTATTGTCAGAATATTACTTTAGTAATAGTACGTTAAATTAAACAAAAAAAAAAGAGTTCTTAAAATTTCCTTATATATTATAAAGATAAACATCCTTTTTGCGCTTTCTATTTGTTCGCATTCGAAATATCATTAGAGTGTAATTTTTATAACACTTTTTTTTGACAAGAAACCGTTAGCCAGCAACGAAATAAAACGATCCATAAACAGTAAAATACCATTGTTCCTGCTAATTGTCTTTTTTAATTCACCATCAATTCATTAACATTTCGCTAAAGATGGTCTGTTTCGATAAGGTATGATAGACATTAGGAGCAGTGAAAGTACGATGATGAACGTCCAAGAAATAGAATAATCATAGATAATGGGGAAAAAGATGTAGGATGAGCGAAAGAGGAAAGTAAGCGGATTGTTCGCTTTTTAATTTCAACGATAAAATTCGCCGGCGAAATTCATTGTTCGGAAGGAGTGGAAAACGGCGAAAGGAAGTGGACGAGGAAGCAGGAATTCCACTGAATTGCGTAATCGCATAAATACTAATTCCGGGTTTATGCGCGAAAAAAATATGAATAAACGCGTATTCTTCGTATTGCGTAAAAGATTTGTATTCATTTCGTGATGAGGAAAATGAGGTTTTTTGATGGAAGAATAATGGAGCTTAATCTCCTGTAAATTCATTTCCTGTAAATAGTGTGTTAGAGATTATGTAGTAGTTGGTTTATGATGCTTAAAACTAAAAAGCAAAATGGAAAGTAATAACAATTTAGAAGTTACATAATGAATAAAATATGTATTTCTCTATGTATATAAAACCTGAAGTAAATAATAATCTAAACTAAGCCTGAAAAGTAATTTATTATAGATTTTGTATAAGACATTCAATAAGAATTTATGTTTTAAAATTGAAAACAAAAAGTAAAAGATAGTATGTTTATATAATTACATCAAATTCCAACGTTTCTGCTAAAGATTTTTTATGAGAAAATACATATTTTACATTAAGAATAATAAAACTGTAAAAAGTATATAAATTATTTTGTAAAGTCGAATTTTTCAAGTTAAAAATTGAAGATATAAAATAAATAATTTAGCGAAACAGAAAAAGTAAAGTGAAGAAAAATTTAAAACGAGAATTGTTTCTCAGTTTTACAAATTTTGTAAAGTGTGTAAATACATTATTTCATTAAAAAAAATCGAAGTTATATCGATATAAAATGTATCTAATGATGCTCAAAACTCGCAAAAGTAATATAAATAATTTGTTCGTAGTTAAAATTATTTGAAATGTGTCTAATAAATCATCCAATTTGGGTTTTTAATGCTCAAAACTGAAATGTATAAAATAAATAACATCTGAAATAATATTTATTTTTTTGATATGTCTAATAGGAATATTGTAAATATCATCAGTGTATTTAGGTTAAGGTTAGAAAAAATTAATGTATAAGTTTACTAACAAGTATAACTAACGTGACAGTAACAGACACAATTCATCTAGTTGGATTTTATACGCCGGATCCGGACTCCACTCATCTCGATCATCCCGAGACCAATTCTGTGGAAAGGCCGTACAGGCCACCACCCTATTACCATCAACATCATCCTCATCACAACGATGATGTTAGGCCCATTGAGCAACAACACCACCAACACCAACGGCCCGAATCGCCATTCAAACATGATTTTAACTATATGGGTAACGAAACGCAAAACCGACAGCTCTCTTTTATTTTCGATTGCGATTACGTAATTTCAAAATGTCTGTCCGTCTTCTCGCACTTCCTCATCCAGCACAACACTCTGTGCATTCGGTCGGTTCAGTTCAATTAGCGAAAACGCGATTTTCCTTCCTGTTTTCACTGAACAAAGTGCATCTTCCAAACTGTCGGTTCTTCTTCACAACACAATTACCTTTACACGGTCGATCGCACGCTTCAATTCTACAATAGAATTTCCAGAATAGGCACTCGTTTCATTCACTCAACTAGGTCACATGTTTCTATTTTTATTTCCATTTCGTTATTATTTAGTTTCTTTTGGCTATGTAACTCACTTCTAAGTAGTTTTTGTTCATCTTACGTATTTTATTCTTCAAACTTATGTAAGCTTTATGAAAGTTTGTTTGGTGTCTTCCGTTGGTTCAAGATTTTATGGTTTTGGTAACCTTCTTTGAAAACAATTTCAAATTGCATCTTTTATTCGAAACAATTGTATTATACTTTTTTTTTCATAAGCAAATAGATCTCACATTACTAACTAATAATGATTAGTTTTAAGTACAGATACTAACAAATAATATTGTATATAACTTGTAAATTTAAAATAATGTTTATAGTATAAATATAAAACATAATATTTTCATATTACTACTTCCATGTAGAATACATTTGTACTCTACTTTTTCATAATCAAATGAATCTCAAATTACTAATAATTACTTTTAAGAATACTAACAGATACTATCGCAAATAAGCTGCAAATTTATATAATTTTTTATGGCATAAATATAAAACACAATTTAATATTTTAATATTACTATTTCAATGTAGAACTCATTTGTACTATACTTTATCACCATCAAATGAATCTCAAATTACTAGTTAACAATGATTAGTTTTAAGTGCATATACTAACAAATAATATTGTAGATAATGTAAACTAAATAGTCAATACAGTTTTTGTATGAATATATTGTAATATAATCTACTAACATTAACTTAATGAGGTAAGTAATTGTATATATTGTGTATAATTTAAGGTATATGTGAGGTATTAGTCAGCATGTACATATATTAATACTAAACATTACATTTTCGTTAATTATAGGAATAGTTGTTATTATTTATAATAATTTTAACCCAAAACTTCATAGTAAAGTTTTATTTAAATTATCACAAATGCATATCATAAACTTCATTTAATGCTATAAAAAATAATATTTCATATATGTACAAATAGTAAACATAGATGAAATAAATTTTTAACATATACTACAATACTAATATTGAATCAACTATCATTTTGTACAAAATGTAATTATGTTTCATAAATCCACGATTGTAAATAATTTTACATTAACTTACATAGATTTTCTCTACAATACTAACATTTTCTCTTACTTATTTAATTTTGTCTGTGTAGAATATTGGCTGATGATTTCAATGTAAAAATCACTCAGCCGTTGTATTTTATAAATGTATATACGGTTAGTTCATTAATTTATTTTTAACACTTTGTATATATTTGTACATTTACTAAGTTTTATATATTTAACCGTTTTCTTTATATGTAATTAAGTATTCAGGATTTGAAAGAAATGGATTTTCTTGATTTATTAAACTATTTTTTTGTTACAAAAGAAGCATTATTTTCATATTTTTCATTAATTAATAAACAAACAATTTTTCTATTTATTTATTGAATGCTAAATGGGTATATCTTACTACTTTAATAAATAATTAAAATACTCGTATAATATGGCTTTGATTCAATATAGTCCGGTTTGAAAACTTTGAAACAAACTAAATTTAAATTGAACAAAAATAAACATAAAAAATTAATACGTTCTATTTTTGTATGAATTTAGTTCTTCGTTTTTAAGCACTTTGCAATATTGGTGGTAACCAGACTCTGAAATTCTTTCATCAATACATATTTTTAAGAATATATTTGTATATAGAATTATTAGATTCTGTCATAAAGGCGACAAAATTAGAAAATAATGCTTCTTTTATAACAACTTGTAAATAATTTTAAATAAATTTGATTATACATAAACCTAGAATTATATTAAATAGAAATTTTGAGTAGTATATTTGTTACATTTCAAACAAATTGTATGTATTTCGAATCACGCATTTGTATATAGTAGTTTAGTTAAATAAGGATAGATTTTATTTATTTGCAAATCTTATTACAAAAAAAATCATATTTTAATCATGAAAAAATAATTAATAACAACTAATGAATACTTTCATATTACAAATTACTATAAAAATATGTATATATTTGTATATAGGTTTGCAATCAACCAAGATTATGATTTATAACATTAAGTAAATAGCAGATATGTATACAGAAGGTCAGAAGGTAATAACAATACACTACTTCATTGCAAACAAAAAGAATTTTATTTGTTTGATCGAGTTCCGCAATCAGCGATATATTAATTTATCTTACGTTCCATTTCATTCAAGGTCTATAATTTTCTTCATTATTTATTAATTTGAGATCATTTGATGGAATGTAATTTGTTATTAGCCAATTTTATAAATTAAAATATAAAATTATGAATTTAATGCAATTATTAAATTGTAGTATATATGATTTTTGTTCATCTGATTTAAATATAATGTATTATAGATTAATTTTGCAAATTAAAATTCTTAATTTTATGTAAATATTCAATTACAAAATGTAGATGGGTTCGTGTGAGAGTAAAGTAAATGATTAATTTTGTGGGCCCCAAGTAATGTTTTAATTAGAGGACTCAGGTAAACTAAAGCTTGAGGGGCCATTACATTTCAATTTAGGACCACGGAAATAGTGTTGTCTTAGCTTGCAAGTGTTCATATTTAAAAAAAACTTGTTCATTGAATAATGTGGGTCTGTCTGCACCGCACCCCGCCACGATTGTTTGTATATAATTTATATATTTATGTATATATGTTGATTTATTGTTAATTTGAGATCATTCGAAGGATTTGTGGAAGCATTTTGTAAATTAAAATTTAAAATTGTAAATATTATATAAATGTTAATTTGTATTTTTCTGTACATAATGTATATATGATTTAATTATTCATTCTTCGAAATTTCTAAATACTGCAACAGACTTGCACGTTGTTCTTCTCTATTTACGACTCAATGGGCTTAACACGAATTTCTCTTAATCACCAATTCTGTCCGACGTTGCGCAAGGGTTTTCTAATTAAAGGAGCGTAGAGGCAACTCACATAACCACACGAGAAAACAAAGGCAAAACATAAATAAATAAAACAGTACCTTGGTGTTGCGAGCAAGAAGTTTATTAACTTCTTGTCCCGTCTCGTTCTCCTCCATGTAATTCATGTGCATTAAATGCTTGTGCTTTTTGTAGGTTGCGGGGAGCTTTACACGCGAAGCAACAGGATTGTGGGTGGCCACTCTACAGGATTTGGGTCTCACCCTTGGCAGGCAGCTTTAATCAAGACGGGCTTCCTCAGCAAGAAACTCGCTTGCGGCGGAGCCCTGCTCAATGAAAGATGGATAGTCACTGCCGCTCATTGTGTTGCCACGTAAGTTCATTACACCTATTCTATTTTTATTTATTCATTTTATTTTGAAACCTGAAAGGTAATTCAATCACATTAGACTTCATCCAAATGGAAAGGATAATAATAGCAACACTGCACATGATTAATATCCATTAGATCGTATTTTTGGGATGTGGTATCCATTTGCGTTAGACTACAAAAGACCGTAATTTAATTGGAAATAATTGACTAAAAGAGAAATAATGTTCGGTCACGTTTGCTAAGCGTACTTGTTTATTTAAGATATTATCTTATAATTATATTTATTCCACTAAAAGCAACACAAATAAATATTACAGCTACAAATTCTACCCAGTTAATCGTTTTTTACTTATTTATTTGATTAACAATAAAGAATAATTCAAAGTTAATTAATTTAAAGTAATCAAACATTGCATCAGCGGTAGGCAAGCATGAAGTCAATGAGAGCCGCATTTCATATAATAAAGAGCCACACCATGATGTTAAATACCATCGTAACAAAAGCGCGCAGGACCAAATAGCGCCTGCACTTAACTCTATGAAAAACCATCACTGTTCATGTAATTAAATTAATGAATTAAATACAAAAAAAGATTACACTTATTATTTTAGATCTCTTGTTTTTGAAATTCATGAGTTTTTATAATTAATTAAAAGTGTTTTTAAATGTATATAATTAAAAATGAAACAATAAATGAAATATAACACATTTAATTCCATGAATATTGCATATTTTTTTCCGGTTTTATTTCAAATCCACTGGGAATTTGCACACATTTTTCATGTGAATTGCGCCGACGAAGCGATAAACTGAAAATCCAGTGGACCGGAACTGCGAATTGCTTTCAGCCTGGCACGAGAGTAATAATTTTAAAATGAATTGTTAAATTTACACGCGTTACTTGGATCATAATTTACAAATAAAATGAAAAAAAAAAATACAAATCGATTTATACGGCGGATGCGCCGGTAACAGTATTTATTTTGTGTTAATATTAATTTTTTTCTAAAAAAAATAATAATGATTTATATCGTGTATTTCGTGTCCCCAGATTTTAGTATTACAATAATAATATATGAAATTTTATGTTAAAATATGTTAAAATGATAATTTGGATAGGAGTAGTGTCTCTTGTGAATGACTATTTGTTCAGAGCCTTACAACATTTCTTGAATTATAAAACCTTCAATGATGATAACACTGAAAAATTAAACCTAGTTCAGTTTTTTGCTGATAAAGACCAGAAGTTCTATGAGCGTGGGATAATAAAGTTTAATAATTATATAAAGAAAATCATGTTTCATTAGTATAAGAAAATCGGCAATTATTTTGTTGTCAACCCAATAATTATGAAGAAAATATAATCAATTTATATAGAATTAATTCTAAATTGTTCATATAAATATAATAATTTATGTATATAAAAAATCTATGTTCATGTGTTGATTTATAAATCTTTATTAGTCCCATTTTTTATGGAAAGAGCCATCAACCTAACTTATAAATTAGTTAGTACTCTCAATTAGCATTAAATGTAACCAGTGTATATGAATGCAGAATTCTTATTGCTATTACGATTGTAGATGTTAATAAAATAAATTTAAATTATTTATTAATTTATGAGTTTTTCTTTTCAGAACTGCAAATGGAAATATAAGGGTGCGTCTTGGTGAGTGGGATGTTCGGGACACTGAGGAAAGACTGTCTCATGAGGAATATTCCGTGGAGAGGAAGGAAGTCCATCCATCCTACTCTTCAGCGGATTTCAAGAACGACGTCGCTTTGGTTAAGCTCGACAGGAACGTTAGATTCAAGCAACACATCATCCCCGTTTGCTTACCATCCCCACAGGTACGATTTATTTTCCTTGCACCAGTAGAAAACTATACTTTATTTATACACCGAAACATATATAATAAACAATATATTAAATATATACTATATATACTTAATCTGTAAGATCTTATGAAAGTTAAGTATTGAATGTATTAATAATAAATACAAAATTATAAGATTAATAATAGAAATAATTGAATAATATTGAAATGCCATCTTGTGGATTGTGCAGAAAATAAACAGGGAATAACTTCAAACATTACATAATTGGTACTTATGATCACTTAAAATAATTAACCTTATGTTAAGTTTAGTTAAATAAAATAATTTTAAGATTAAACAACTTTAGTTAGGTACGTTACAAAATTCATCTTAACATAAATCATAGTAAATTAAATCCAGTTACTTAAATTAGATCAATTTTATAAGTTATGTTTACGTAAATTAAGTCACCTTAAGTTAACCATTTTTTTTTCCTGAATTATAACTAAGACAAAAATATTTATTAAAAAATTGTTCATTTTCAGCTGAAATTGTCTGGTAAAATGGCGACAGTCGCTGGATGGGGAAGAACAAGACACGGCCAAGCAACAGTTCCTTCTGTTTTACAAGAAGTAGACGTCGAGGTTATACCAAATGAGAGATGCCAAAGGTGGTTCAGAGCAGCAGGACGTCGTGAAACGATCCACGATGTTTTCATTTGCGCAGGATACAAAGAGGTAATCGTTATTTCCATGCCATTTTCATGTTATTTCCAACCCCAACCAGCGTATCCTCAAACCCAAACAAAAAAAAAGTAAAGCGTAACCATCAATTATACAAAGACCTAATATTTTACGGGGACGAAAAATGTGTTATACGAAACATGTACACAGCGCGACGTAACAAAAATCTGCTTTAAAAACATATTAATCTTCGTATCATTTATACTGTACTTCCATTTTTCTCTCTCTCTCTCTTCCCTAGCGTATGAAATTTGATTGATATTAATGTAGTTATTTTGATATTCCCACAGGGTGGACGTGATTCGTGTCAGGGCGACTCCGGAGGTCCTTTGACGATGAACGTCGACGGGAGGAGGACTCTCATAGGACTCGTTTCGTGGGGCATAGGATGCGGAAGGGAGCATCTCCCTGGAGTCTATACCAACATCCAGAAGTTCGTTCCATGGATAGATGCAATCATGGATCGCTAAGTGAACCACTCCAAAAGGAAAATCCGATGTGCCACACACACGAACCTATCTATCTATATACACCACATTGAAATAAGCCACACTCGAGCACAAAGAAAGTGGCCAATTTATTTCAACAATTTAATGAAAAACGAAGACGAAAGCTTTATATAATTTATTTAGTAACTATTAAGTGTATTTATTGTTATTATTTTTTACGCAACTATTTCGTATTGATTCGACCAAGGATGAACGCGATTCAACCATTCGCAAATCTCCATGGAAACCTACCATAACCATTTAACATCATTACTACAGTTAAAGAATTACTATCATTTTTTTTTAATATTTCTGGAATTACTTTTATTTTTGTATTATAGTTATTAATCGTTTGTGTTTTGTGATGAACCCATGTGATGGTTTTACTGTTACTGTTGCATCGGCAGGGATGTGAACATTTTTTTTTGTTTAGTATTAATTATATTTTTTTACATAACTAGACTAAATATTATGATTCGCAATTATATCGATTCTATTACATGTATTTTTTAATAGAAGTAATCTGTATCAGATGCAATTCATAATTGTAATTTATCCAAGTAAGTCTATTTTATTGTTAATGTACTTATTTAATTAAGTAGGAAAAAATATATAGTATATATGATAATGAAATTTAATAAACAATATATTTTCTTATAATGAATTCATGCATTTTTATTTTCCATTTAACTCAATTTACAATTTGTAAACATTTCTTTATAAACAATATAATTTCATAATTTTTCTAAGAATCCTTAAAATTAAATCAATTATTTTGAATATTTTTATCAATAAAGTCCACATTATTTAAACTCCTTTAAACTTTTCTAATTTATATGTTTCTGCTATTGTATTTTCTTTTATATTTTGAATTATACTATGGAAAAGTTTCAATTATATTTACCAGCTTTCTATGTGTTTCAAACTTTTCATATTTTCTTTTAATCATGGTTTTCTCAAAGCAAGATATTATAAAAGTACATAAGTAAACAAATATTAATTAATGTCAAAACCAGATTCCGGAAACTTAGTATGAAGGAGGAATAGGGAAGAAAATCATGTTGTGCAATTATAAAAGAAACTTTTCAAATAAGAAATAATCCACATGCGAACTGAATTAAAGTATTTGGAGGGTGAGATCAAAGAACGTAAAGTTTGTAAATTATATTGGATTATAAATTGTTAGGGAAGTTTTTACGATGAAAAATAAATAGATTAAAAAAATAAAATTGATGAAAATTTCAAAATAAACATGGATGATAAAATCAAATGACAATACAAACTATTAGTTCTAACTTTGAAGTAAAAAGTTTAGTATGGACACCAAATTAATTCAGAAAATTACAAAATTGCTGTCCATTTTTCGTTCTAAGAAACGGATCAGTTTTATATTTGAACAACAGAGAGGAACATAAGAAATTTCTATATTTTTTCTAAGATTTTTCAAATTATCTTTCATTATAGACCAGCAAGATTTTGGGACAATTCCTTAATTGTTTTACGCGCATCGGATTCCATTATCAATCCTAAGAAGTCTGCTTAACTTTGGTTTGTCCTTGAACTCCCTGCCAACATATTGAAACGTTTGATCTATAGCACTTACGAGGATACAAGATGTGTCCAGAAATCTGACAGATGGTCTAGGTAGATTCTTTTGATTTCAATCCTTTATCAAGTAAAACGGCATAAAAAGCATTTATTTTTTTTATTGTGGGCCATAATTATCAAAACAAAAAAAACTATTAACAGAACTTCAAAGCAATAGCAAATTCAAAGGCATTAGCAATAAACTCGTTCCAAAGTAACGCAACAATAAAATACATTCCTTTTCGCATTACCTTTTATATTATATTCAAAATAATATTACAAAAATAATTATATTTTTGTAAAATTGTAATTTGATTATAAGTGTTTGAAGTTTGTAACTTATTATAAGGAAGATAAATTAGTTAAAAGTTTAAAATGGAGTTGATAAGTTGATGTTTGCGTATTTCATGGAATTCTCTTGGGAAACAAAAATTAACACGGAAATCTTCCTAAATTTGAAAACAGCTACCAAAGTTTTAATATTTTCTGTAGATTACGACAACAAAATTAATTACATTGTTTATAATTTAGTAAATTTTAATTATTGATGGAAATGAAAAGTACTATGGTCAATAGCCCTTTTGGAATATTTAGTTACTCTTTATTTGCTTGTGAATTTTATGTTTATTTATGTCTATTTAAATGTTTCAATTAAAAAAAATTGAATTAAGTTATCTATAAACAATATTATATAATAAAATTTTCAATATGTGTCATTTCAAAAGAAGTGATGTTGACAAATGTTTAAAACCCGAATATTATAAGAATAAATCATTATTACATATTTTGTTTACCTCTTGAAGAATTTAACGATATGACTAATTCCTAACACAATTTTTAATTTGAAATTTGCGTTGTTTATCACTCGGAAATTCCAAGCCATTCTTTCGAACACATCAAACAGTAATTAATGACTCTTCGTTAAAAATGATAACGCAATAATAATATTTCGAGACGGACTAGAAACTGGTTGTTTCATTAAAGATATCAGAAATGATTTATAGCTATTGTTTTGCGGATTAGCGATGCATTAGTTCCAGTTAAGTTGACGGTGAAAGGATGTTATGGCAAATGTGAGTAAGAGTATTCACTCTCAAATTATTATTAAATTATTATTATTACATTAATCACTTAAAATTCAGGGAATTGATACAATTATTAACAAACAAAAATTGAACTTATTTAGTAATATGTCATTGAATTGAACAGTATAAATATTTAACGTATTAATAACAATAACTACATGAATTGCAATAATAATAACATTGGATCAATAAAGTATAAAATATTAATCTTTGCACTGCCTCTTTGATTAACAAAGAAAAATTATGTTATATATAAAAAAATAGATAAAAGCTTTTAGAGATACTACAACTTCATGACTATTTTTTTTATTAATATTTTATCCAACATTTCAATTAAGTGCAGAATTTTAGTAGCAATCAATTTTAGATAAATAAGTACTTCTTCAAGACTATTTCTTCACTTTAGCTGATCAGCTCAATTCATGATATTTTCCAGTTTGTTTCAATATCAAAGTTTTCACATTTTATTTCATATTTGTTTTCTCTATTAGACCAGTCTTATCCATTAGTCTAGACACAGTGACTAAGGCTCACAAAGTTTTTGGGGGCACACGAATATTTTCGGTGCCCATAAAAATTAGTTCATCATTTTTTCTATCCATGAACAATATTTAAATTGAAGATTCTTTACAACAAAATATGTATTTTATGGTCGTGATTTAATTAACTCGTGCCTAGAACCTATGATAATTTTATAAGGGGTCTGCGTTCTCTGCAAGATATTGCGAAAAGTTAATAATTAAACAAATATTAATGTGAAGACCAGATATTTTGCTTAGTTATCATTCACAAATAAGTCATAAACTTGTCTTTTAGAGTAATTCTACAGAAAATCTCTGTAAAATCTGATACTGTATTACAATGAAAAACATGAAACTTTCTCGGGGCCCTCGACTAACATTGGTTAGGTGCCCTGAACCCTTAACTTCGGGCACAAATGACTAACACTTTTTGGAGGCTCTCTACTAAAATAGTCTGAGGGCCCTCGATTAACTCTGTTTGGGGACCCTCGACTAACCTGGACTAACATAATTTGTAGTGTTTAACTAATTAACCCAAATATTAGATATGCTTATTTATATATTTTTATAAAGACCATGCCTAAATCCGCACCTGGCAAATAAGCATGATAAAATGAAAATATGTATGTGTCATTTAGTATGAATAGAAGTAAACAATATTAGTAATATACATATAAATCCTAATTAGCCCTTTGTCAATATTATGTCATGTTAATTTAAAATTGTATTGATATGATTACATAATAAATTATATTATATCATAAAATCTGATATGAAAATTGCTAGATTCAAATCTCAAAAAAAAAATTAACAACTTTTCATATAAATCTTGATTTTTCAATAGTATTTATAAAAAAATATAGTCGTGAACAAACTTATGCAAGGTATATACTATTTATTGTTTATATAAGGCTTTGATCATGTAGTATTTTAGTCATTCGTATGGACAGTTGCATAAGTCGCAAGAGTTAGTCACCTGTCCGCACCTGGCTTAAGTCATCACAGAATTTCGGAACCTGACTTACGCAAAGGGTAGGATTAACGGGTTGCCTACAAATGTTCCAATTTTTTTCCATTCTCGAAATGGTTATTCTTATTATTATTGTGCTCTAGCCTAGTATGCCCAGAAGCACAGCTGGTAATTCTCTTTGTACCTCGATTAGTGAGGCATATTAACGGTACATCCCCTCTTAAGATACCTGCAGCGGCATCCACACCGCCGAAGAGGTTGATGACCCAAAGCTTCTTCAGCATGGCAGACTTCCACAAACAACAGTCCCTACTTAACGTCGAACAGGTGATGATCGTGTTTTAGCCATGAGCACGATCACCATCAATTAGCGCGCCAAAAAATTATTTGATATATATATATATATCTCAGATCTCCGCGAACTCGCGTTTCCGGTCGCAAAGTTTAAAAAGTGCCGATTTTCAAAAAAATTAATAATAATAAATAAAATAAAAAAATATACATAAATCGAATCATGAATGGAAAGCTCTGCAATATATAAGAATATTTATATTTATTGATATAGCAACTTAATTATTTAATTTATTTATTTATTATTTATTTATCAGTGTGCAAATATTGTCTAGTCTTTTTTTTGTTTAAACAAAAAATCAAAATATATCTTCGCAAGGTACGTATTCCAAACATACACTTACATTTACACTTTTTCACACCGAATTTAAATTATTTATACAGAGAGTCAATGACTTTGTGCGTACAAGTGCTAAATAACGAACGGTTCATTTTTTTTTGTGTGTAGACATTATTTCAATACCGAAT